TACGAAAAGAATTCTCTCTTAAAAACATAAGTGATTGATGACTACTTTATTGCGATATGCCTCCAGTGGGCCAAATTATTCGTTCAGAAGAGCCACACCAACTAAAAGCAATTTTTTTCGCGCGTTTCACTCATGCAATGACTCACCTGAAGATGACGTTGTATTTATTCGGAATGTAGTAATCTCGAATCTCCTTGTGTACAAAATGGCTGTTAACAGATTCTCGTGGGGTGTAGGGCAGTGGTTCGGTTGACCCGATAATTCTCAATCGAAACTTCCCTGGTGGGAGGATGGCGTTAAGAGTTCTCGCCTCGGCCACAAATGTATATCCAAGCTATAATAATAACATATATATATATATATATATAAATAATAATAAAATAGAAAATAAAAAAATGAAAAAATGAAATTTTTTTTAAAAATAGATTTTTATTTTTATTTTTTTAAAATAATAATGATACAAGTCAAGACTTTTGAAAAATGATTTGCATGGGGGCAATTCAGGTGTACTGGACGCGCACTCCTGCAAAAACCAAGGAACTCTTGAAGTAAAATTGTTATTATCAAGGGCGGATCCAGCCAAAATTTTAGGGGGTTAATTGAGTTTAGGGGGGGGGCTAATTGAGTTTCTGCCGTCAACACAACGGAAAACAATATTAAAAAACATCGTTTTTTTTGCTGAAGGGGGGGGGGCCTTTAGCCCCCCCTTTGCCCCCCCCCCCTGGATCCGCCCTTGATTATAGCGCATCATAACTGGTGCTTCATAAGTTTTTTACAACAGTTTTCATCATGCGTTCATAAGTGAAGGTTGTAACTAGAGGGTTCCTCCTGAAATGACTATTTTACCTTATTTTTCTTTATCAGGCAAGGCGCGACTCTCTGGAAGATCCTAGTCAGTTCCTCTCCCGTATCATTATCTACTACTCTCAGAAGACAAGTAGGGAAATTGACGTAGAGTTTAGGGACCATGAGTACGGGTTCGTCAACGACAAAYACCTCCCTGTAGCAAGAAAATATACCATAAGTATTAGTAATGAGAAATAATGTGTATTGTATAATAAAGATAGGTAGGATAAATGATATCGCTTTAACATTTGCATATTGATATTCCAAATGTTTATATCTCTGAAAAGATAAGACCACATACAAAACTACTGCAACCACACTACTAGAGTGCAAAGAATATGTCCGTGAAACACTAATTACTAAATTGTTCAAAATAGTGCTATTTAAACAAAAGAAAACAATAGAATTAGCATAAAATAGTGTAAGTTAGTATTACTAATATTTCACGGATATATTGTTTGCACTCTACACTGTTCACATATAAGTGATTTTGAAAAAAAATTTTTTTCCCTTGATATACATTTTAAAACATCGCTTTAACGACAATAGGGGCACTTTATAATGTAATATTTAAGATAAATCTAGTAGACAGACACACCTAAACACGACAAACCAAGAGTTAGCAGGTTGCTCAGGGTAACCACCGTTGTAATCTGCATAGGCTACTCTGGACCACTCGTCCTCGAAGAAGGGGAACATTGGGAAGAGAGGTTCATCCTTCTTAAACATTCGTCTGAAGATCTCAACGGCAAAGTTTTCTAGGTTCGGTGTTAAAGTGCTCCAGGCTTTTGCAAGTAAGGCGGAGACTTGTTGTTGTTCTTCTGATCCTAGAGAAGTTAAATAATAAGCGTTTTAAGAACACTATTCTATACTACTATACTAGTCTTTTTAGAATAAAGTTGTTGAAAGCAGGGGGCACAACAAATGCGCAATAAATGAAAAAACATGATTGACAGACCGATCGATTAACTGACTGACTGAATCAATAGGCCATTTCACGGATCCCATTACTCAACCTCAGCCTCGTCAGCGTGTAACTATTCTTTACAATTTGACTACAGTCCGCAGTAATGAAAGGAATTTACACATCAACGAACAATTGAAACACTTAAAAATTTCACAGGTTGTAGGCAATTTCTAAAGAATATATTACACGCTGACGAGGCTGAGGTTGAGTAACGGGATCCGTGAAATGCTCTATTGACTGACCAACTGACTGACTGAATCGAACGACCAACTGACTGACTGACTGAATCGAACGACCGACCGACCAACTGAATGAACTATGAACTGCCCGACCAACTAACTGACCGACTTAGCTGTAATGGCAAACCATGGATGCTTACCAGTCACATATGCCTTGGCAAGTTTCCTAACGAAATGTCCACGGAATGACGCCTGGATTTTGGTAGCAGCTCCATKTTCGTCAACATTAGCTGTCCGGTCAGCCCACGAAGAAGGAACGTCACTTGAAATCTTGAACAAGGACTTTCGCTTTAAGGAGCCTATTCTTGTAATCTCAGCCGCTGACAAAGGCCTTTGGGAGATGTGCTGGCGCATGCAGAGTGCAGCTTGAAATGCAAAGGCTTTCCAAGCAAAATGCATTTCTGGGGTGTATGCTTCACCGAGATTGTATTTGAGAGCTTTGAACAAACACTTCATAAAGATCTGAGGACGAAAAAATGAAATGGAATCAGTCATTGGGCTACCTGTGGTGGGGAAGGATTAACATCAATCAAAAAAATTTAGATCTTCAATTTCATACCTTGAAATGTCTCTCTTGGATCTTAAGGGACTCGTCCTTCATTCCCAGGTCTAGGGCGGGCCTCTTATCTTGCGGGGGGTCTGAAAACGAAGACACGAGGCTTCCGACCGAGCGAATCACGTGCATGGCATGCTCCATGAATCGACAACTTTCCTGTTAATAAAAAACAAAGGTCAAAAACGTACAAGGACAAATAAGGGATCAGGGTTGTCGTGACAACTTGCCTTAGTCAGTGACGTCATTACTGTATCCTCGTCTCCGAAAACGAAGGGAGTCTGGGAACAAAGCTGAACGTGGAAGCCGTGAGGGGCTTGTAAGAGGAAACGCAGGACATGGCGTCTGAAAAAAATAACGAATAAACTATGAATAAAATACCCGATGAAAAAAGTGTTTCATATTTGACTAATAGACTGCTTGGACGATACGGCGACGATCTTGTCAGGGGAGTAAGACAAAACAAAGATGACGGTAAATATATAGGTGTGTGTTTGTCTTTCTTTTATGGGTAAAGGTAATCAATTTGCCGTCTTCATTCATCTTTGGTTGTATCCTCTTGTGGTGAGCTGTTAATATCAATCGATTTTATTACTATAACAAAGCTTGATTTACCCCCTCGACGCCCCATAATGCATTGTGATCCAAGATGGCCGCGGCATCGTCAAAGTAATCCATTCTCCGGTATGAAAAGGAGCAGTGATTGGCGCTAATTTGGTATAGGGGTAATGGCGTTGGATCTAGCATAATGGAACAGCTTCGCCATTTCATACTGTGGTAAACTATGTCTCATCAGAGACGAAATTAAGTGGGTAGAACTTTCCAACCTACCCTGCTGGTAGACACAGTACGGCACTCTTTGCTCCAGTTGATCTTATCCTCAACACAGGGTTACCAGTTACTAAACTTTTCCACGAGTACGGCTCGGCGACAAGTGTACCTGAGACGATTGGTGCAAATTTATCTTCAGATGTGACTTCTTTGAGATCTGGAAGTAAATATGAATAAATGTGAATCACGAGGTTAAGAAAAAATCATACAATAATCATGGGATTATTCTGTGGTCTAGCCCCAGTACGGACAGACATTGTTAGGCCCTATTCCGTATTGGAGCGCTGTGATTGGTGGATTATTGTATGCGTTCAACGATTTGTGATTGGTTCAAGATAAAGCTAAAAGTGACAGGGTATTAGCTATTCCGAGGTTGAGTAAAAGACTGGGTCTAGTTGGCATTGCAATGCATTGGCTGTTTTAGAGTACTTATTTCCAAGATGGCCGCTCTTTCTTCCCCTGAAACAGTCCCAAAATGTACTGCACTGCCAACTAGACCCAGTCTTTTACTCATATCTGAATGGCTAATAACGAACCTAAACAACTCAATACCACCACAGTATTGAGTTTTTCACTTTATCAACGTGACTAATTTTGGTATAACTGATTTTTGGCATGACTGAGCGTCAGTCCTACGACTTCTTTCTTTTTGTACACGGTCACGGTACTGCTCGTTTCATAAAGTTAATGCTTCAGTGTATTAAGGGTGGGCCGTATTCATTAATATGGGTGTCATTGTACGATACTATGACGAGCTTCTCGTGTATCATTTTCAAAGAAAACAGTTTTAAATCTTACCTCCAGAAACGCTACTGCTGCTATCTTTGTCTTTATCCTTGTCTTTTTCTTTCTCCTTCTCCTTCTCTTTTTCTTTTTCCTTCTCTTTTTCTTTCTCCTTATCTTTCTCGCGTATAATTGGTAGCGGTGGATCCAGCCATCTTGAGAAGGCAGTAAAACCAACTACAATCTCTATGGGGTCCAAACTATCGACAAACAAATACGGTGGGGGAGGGTCCTGGTATTGATTGTAAGCCGACGACCCGTAGGGGGAGGGGCTGAGGGATGTATTTTTTCCAGGAGCTGGAGTCGTCCCCGTGACAGACGACGCTGCTTGCAGGCCAGATTTCTTGCTTGAGCCATGAGTGGTGGTGGCGATGTTCTGAAAACGTTTGAAATGTAACGCAAGTTAGTCACGCAATACATCAAGAATTCAAATATTTAGAGAAACGTTAGTAGAAGAAATGCGTATTGAAACGTACCCCTCTTAAAGGAATAGAATTTATAAAAAGTGTGCATGCGTGTTTAAGGTTAAAAACGAAAAAAAAAAAAGGTTTAACTCATTGAGGATGGAAACTCCCTAACCCTTGACAAAATGCATGCGTATTACTACCAAGTACAAGCCCAGATTTTTTTTGACTGATCAGGAAGCCAGGCCGAAGCCTAAGGGAAAGGTTGGCACGCCCCTAGACTGTATATGATTAACCTCTTGTTATGACCAGCAAACTCAGTGTAGAGCCTGTGTCACTGATGGCTTAGAGTCAAGGTTACTCTTATTCACGTGGGATGCATTCATTTGAAGGAAAGGATGGAAAATAGAAAAGATAAAGAAAGGAAAAATAAATTAACTAGCGTATTGAGATATGCGAATGCACACAGAACGTGCATACTAATAATATGCAGCCCGTAAAGTCCTCCACTGGTCATAAATGTAAAGCGCATTGAGATATTTGAAATGCGCTATATAAGAAACTCCATTATTATTATTAGACTCAGTATCGTTAGCAGTGAAAAGAAGGATTGCAAGTGAAAAATCTCAGGGCTTGTTCACACTGACCGCTTGTTAAAAACGAGAAATCCATAGGATTTCTGAATTAATAATTCTTATTGGTTAAGGAAAACCCAATTCTTCGATCGACGTTACATCATCGCGGCCTCTCGGGGGAGCGTTGGTGCCTTTTAACAAAATTTTTTTATTRACATCCATTGTTAACGGCACCAAGATGGCCGCCCATCAATAGTGCCCGTTGGCTTAGCATCGAGTTATTTATTGCGAGGAGAAAAGCAAGAGGAGAAGAAATGAAAAATATTTTTGTAGATGAATGTCAAGCTTAAGAAATATTGGAAGAGGCAGTAGCTTGCTTTTGACAGTAGCTATTGGATTGTTTGGGTTACCTCAGGAGATGGTGGTAGAGGTTCAGGTACTTCAATATCATCCTGATGAGTAAACAAGATTATGAAAAGAAGAGAGAGAAAGGAAGGGAAAATGAGAGAAATAAAGAGAATAAGAGAATAAAGATGGGAAATGGAATTTTAAGCAAGAAAATAAGAGAAAAGAAAAAGTTCGAAAGTTGGGAATTGAAAGGGAAGAGAGGATAGAAGGGAAGCTGGATGGAAGGGAAGCTGGAAGAAATAGAAACTAATAAGAAGAAACCCAGAATAAACCAGCAGCAAATGAAGCAAGATAAGAATGGGCAAGAAAGAAAGAGAGAGAGTAATACAAGAAAAAAGATGACAAAATTGGAACGAAGTGAAAGAAGTCGTCCAAGAGCAATCGATAGTATTGATAAGGACGATAGGGGAGATTGCATAAGAAGGAGAAAAACGTTATCCTGAAAAGAGAATGATGGCCCATTTTATCGAGCAATACGACTTTTCTTGCCTGAAATAAAGTCATTATTAAAATACAAGTTTGACAGGTTTGACAGCTTTAACCGGTTTGATGAGATCATACCTTTAACTCGATAGTTGTCTTCGTATGTTTGTAAGTATTGGGTTTATGAAAGATGTAAAGATTCCTGTTCAAAAAATAAACAAATAATCAAAAGAAAATCAGTACTTGTCATGCAAAACATCGCTTAATTTACCATCCTAAAATATTCTTATTATGACGTCATAATATCATGGCAATCAAAATGACGTCATAATATCATTTCAACACGTCACACTTAACCTGAATGACATCATTTAAATGTATAAGTAGAGAGACCAAATTTCAAATTTGTACGATAAAGACGTGTTCCTTGATTACAGACTCATTTACTCAGGGTTAGCCTCCTGTCAGCATCAGAACGTAAAGTAAAGCAGAGAATGCACAACTTCAACAATACAAACGCTTTGAATCTCAATGGACTTTCACTGGAACACGTGATATTCTGCACAAAGTTGAGGCTAATCCTGAGCAACAGAGAACTCGAAACCGAGGTATTTCTGCTAGTAATAGCTATACTAAAGTCTTACTTTAAAAAGCACGTCACTGAAAACCTTGATGACGTAGAAGTAAAGTGAAATTACGTATTCTAATGTCAAACAAAACCTTGCAATATGACGTCCAAAAACAAACTTACCCAAAACACTTGCAGAAGTCCTCAAACTCCATCCATAACTTCTTCTCCTTAGATTTCTCTTCTTTGGCTTTATCCCCTTCTTCTGTTTTCTCACCTTCTGGTTTCTCTTCTCCTGCCTCCCCGTCAGTACCCTCCCCAGGGATCTTAGGTTCCCCTTCACCAGCCGAGGTAGGTACTTCAAGAGTGAGAGGCGCAGTGTCTTCAGCCTCCATGATGGGCGTCACCTCGTGAAAATATTCCTTGTCGAGATCTAATTTGGGTTTTTCCATTCGGGATACACGGCGTGATTCTTTACTGTTAGGAGCTGTAAACAATCACATAAATCTATTAACCTCTAAGGAGGCTCGAAATGTTTTTAAGCGCGCGCGCCCACCGCTTATGATGATAATGTTAGACTTTTGGATCAGTTTTTCGTTTTTTTTTTTCTTTTCAAAGCAAAAGTGACAGAGCATAGAAAGACAAACAGTTTCCGTATGACTGTGAAAAATTCATGGCACGAACGCAGTCGTGACAAGGCATTTGCCAAAACAATCACATTGCTCAAGTATTTACTCTCCATCCAATGAAATGCCAGGAACACCTGACACGCCATAAACACGCCGTAGACACGGTCTCGCCGAGGTCACGGCACTGCCAGACCAATCAAATCGCGCGAAAATAAAATCAGCCAATTAAAATTCTAGACTGAAACATCACGGTCATGGCTTGGCACGCTTACGGCTCTGAGCTTTTCACAGTCATGCGAAAACTGCTCTAAATGTAAGGAATATAAAACTTGGGCAGGGCGTGTCTCTTTGTATGATATAAACAAAAGCCGTGCATAATTCAACACTAACGCACAAATGACGTCATAGTATTATATACTTACACTTTAGATCACCAGGTTTCTCCATACGCGAGATCTTTCTCCCACCTCCTTTCGGTGTCCCCACTCCTGATCGCACTCTTTCCTTCTCTCCCGACCCCAGCTTACTTCCAGATCGACTCTTTCCAGGACTCTCTCCTTTGCTGGGTTTGTCTTTCTCTACTCGGTCACTTTTGGCCGACCTGACGCGAGGGGTCTTGATCGAGTCCTTGGTGCCGGAACGTTCTCGTAGGTTATCCTTGCTGTCTCTTTCTTTCATGACAGGTTCTTTGTCTCTTTCTGGTTCTTGTTTTGGTTCGTTGACTTCCGTCACGCTAACAGCCTGAGAAGAATGGAAGAGGTATAGGAGTAAGAATACATCTGAATCAGTAATGGATAAAATAAATGTGCACGTGCACGTTCTAACGAGACTTTATTGTAAGCTCCTGTGTGTCTACGTGAATAAATAAATTACTTACTTACTT